CTCCAGGACATTTGCTATCTTCAATAGTTCTTCTACATCTTTTTTTTTCCACATCTGACACATCTAGAGATAACAAACCTATACCCGGACCGTTCAGATGAGTGTCACAAAGGCACAGGGAGGCACATAAGCCTGGCCGTGAGGTTTAACAACCAGGTAGGAGCAGACAGCTGTCTTAAAATTAATGCTTGTAAATTAACTGTTCTTTGGTTCTGGGGCCATCCAGCACCAGGCAGTCCAGGATCATACCAACAAACCCTTTAGCCTCTAAAATGAGGTGGCCACATCACGGAGACTCCTGAGCCCCTGCCTGGGAGTTGCTGAAGTGCCGGTTGGCTCAGGTCAGCAGCATCCCAGGGACCGGGATAACAATTTACCAGTGTCCATCATAGGCAGTGCCCCAGCAGTCTGGTTTATCACTACAGAAGTATCTCTTAGGTCCAGTGGGTGTATTTACTACAGACAGGAGAACGGGCAAACCCATTAGCTCTCCTGTGTCTTGGTTTGGCAGCCACAGAAATATGGGTTGATAGCAATTTCCACCTCACGGCTGAGGTGGCAAAGATAAATTTATTTCCATGAGACATCTAGAAACCACAGGCTTCTGGGCCATCAGAGAGGATATCCGCTAATGTGCCTGTGTTTGGCTTTGTGATATTTAGTTTGTTTTTATTGTGCAATATATTATGATTTTAATTAAACATTTTGTGTCTCACTGGTCACGGGGGGGGATAGCTAGAACTTCCCCTCTGTTATTCCGTCAGAGAGATGCTGCAAGCTCTCTTCTTGCAAAATTTATTATTATTTGCATTACAGATCCATTCTCACAATAAAAATTAGGTGTATTGCCAGCATGCTGCAGCATTGCCAGCCATAAATCACAGGGAGCTATAAACACGTCGCCCAATAAACTATCAGGAGAAAATCATGCCTGCTGGGAGAGCATCATAAATGGAAAAGATCATTTACTTCACACACTATTTTCACTGGTACGCCTCACGCTGTTTACGCACGGGGAGCTTGGGCTCTGTGCGGCTCCCGGTTGATTGGACGGGGTCAGTCCTTGGGGCGCGTTATAAGCACTGCCCTCCCGACGCCGGGACGCGGATGCGGGTTCTTCCTCTGCATCGCAACGGGGTTGTGCTGCCTGTGCAGGTCGTAAAGCCCCCGGGCCCCCACCGCTGCGCTCGGTAAGTACCCTGGGCAATTAGCAGCCTCTCCAACATTGCACTCCTCATTTACTAGTGCGGTGGCTGTGGTTTATGGGGCTGGACACCCACACGGGTGGGGAGATGCATCTCCAAAGCACCATTTGGGAGGTCCACGCCACTCCACGGGACCTGGTGGGTCGGGTGTTCAGGGGAAGGCGGGCAGCTGTAATTTCAGACAGCGCTGGCACCACAGTACTGCCAGGGGAGGTCTGGCCATCACGGTACCACTTACTGTTGTGCCGTGGGCTTTGTACAAGAGTCAAATTGCTCTTCCACCGTCTGGTGGCCCGGCTCAGCTGGTGGGAATGGCACATTCCTGTCCTTGCCTGTAAAGTCAACAGAAATTCAGCTCTGTGGGTGCTGCGCCCCCAGAGTCCCTTCACTAATCCTCCTCCCTTCGCGGAGCAGCTGAGCCCTCGCTTGGATGCTTGAGCTGGCAGTGATGCAGTTGTGAAAACAGCAAAGTCTCCTCTTGGGGAAAAAAAAGCAGATCTCTTGGTCTCATCCTTCCCAAGCCCCTGCTCTTGCCTACGCTGAGAAGAAGCCCTTAAAGCACCAGTACTTTTCTTAAGTTGTTGGTGAAAATCAAAGTCAGAAGACAGGCAAGGAATCAGGAGGTGGGTTTTGTGGGCTGGAGAAGGAGGAACAGCACCGTGTCCTCCATGAGGCATCTGCATTAGAGCCTGACCCCTTCCCCCGGGCGGGCCGGAATTGCTCCTGGGGAGCAGAAAAGCTCGGGCACGGAGCAAGCGGACAGTTTTCCCTCTGTGGTAGGATGCCTTTCCAGGCCAGGAGCAAGCGCTGCCCAGGTGCTGCCATTAATCTTTAAATGGAGATCTTCCACTAATTGGAGGTTTGTTTCCTCGTCAGGGCTTGGCTGCGGTGTGAAAGGTGCAATTGCTGTCCCGAGATAGTCAGCTGGGAGGTGTGACATATATATGTCTGCTATATGCTATACATACTCATATACATTTATATAAACATAAATAAGCATGCATGCTTGTTTATATATTTTTATATATTATGGGCATTTTATATATTTTTATAGATATTATTTATAGTCACACATGTATATAGTTATACACACACACAGAGAGAACACAGAGGGGAAAAAAACAGCTTGGAGTGGGATCCATATCTGTAACGCGTAGGAGCACGTAACAAACCAGAGTAGCTCAGAGAGGAGCAGCGCTACTAAATCCCATTTCTAACTAACTGCGTACAGTGCGGTACGAGTTGGCAGTGTCTAACAAAGTCAGGTTTGCGAAAAGGTTTTTTTGCAGGAGGAGCATCTCTTACAGACCCCAGTGAGCTCTCACCAGTCCTTTCCTTCCCACTGCGCTCTAACTGTCCCTCCTCTTTATCCACCTCTATATTCCTGGAAATCTCCTGTATCTCGGTATCTGTGAGAGTTCTGGATATCTGCAAGATGCTGCTGTAAGGGAGACAGACAGACAGACACACATGCATGCACATACTCATTTTTTTAAGTTTTTTGGCCCAGCCTCCAGATGAGACTGAATTGCAGGAATCTGCAGATTTGTTCCGACTGCTTGGATGCTGTTGGATTGGCAGAAAGGACAGCTCTTACCTTTGGGGAGCTCCAAGCTGCTACTTAGGACCAGAGCTACCTCTGGACGGTTTCCTTTTGCCGATGCATGCCGCTGTCGGTGCCGCAGGGAAAGCGCCGGCTGCCCTTTGGCAGCTTCATCCACGTCTGTGCCATATCCCACGTTGACAAGGCTCTCCTGAAGAAGGGCTGTGACTTGTCCCTTCAGCAACTGCCACGGCGGGGCTGCTTGCTGGCCAAGGCGATTCCTGATACTAGCCTGCAACTTTGCAATGAAGATAAAGTGGCCCTGCCGGGGGGAAATGAAGTGACTTTGGGTCTTCCCCAGTTCCCATCAGTCATGCGTTGCTTTTGCCCTGGAGCAGGAAGATGTTAATCCTTGGTTAGCTCTGGGATTTATTGCCACATTAGGCTCTCAAGCAGGCTGAGAGTCTAATGGAGCAAAATCATATTAGGAACATAATAAATACATCATGGAAGATATGTGTGTTTATGAAAAAATGAACTGTGTTATAGGAAACCCTCTTGCTCATAATTCAGGCACTCTTTGACCTGCTTGTTTTGTGTCCCACAGAAGGTATATTTAGACGGAACCCACAAATATTTTTTTTTTTTGTTTAATTAGCTCGTTTTGCACATTCAGTGCTTTCCCCCATCCACCCAGCCAGTCATTCAGTCACAGAAGGCGCAGAGAGGGCTCGGGGACCCTGTCAGCCTCTCCAGCATCTCTGCCAGGGTGCGCTGTCACGTGCAGTGTAGGAACCTGGATTGTGCTGAGGTGTCCAAATCCCCCAAGAGGACTAAAACCTATGGTAAAATCACAGGTTCATAGGTTCATTGGATAATTCAGGTTGGAGATGCTTCAGAAGATCTCTAGTCCAATGTCTTGCTCAAAGCAGGGCTGTCTATGAGGTCAGACGAGGCCACTCATGGCTTTATTCAGTCAGGTCTTGAAAACTTCCAAGGATGGAGATTGCACAACCTCTCTAGGCAACCTGCTGTGATGCTTGACACTCCTCACGGGGAAACATTTCTCATTATACTCAGTCCAAACCTCTCTTGTTTCAATTTATACGGGTTGTCTCTCATTCTCCCATCACGCACTGCTGTGAAGAGCCTGGCTCAGCTTTCTAGATAGTCTCCCTTTAGGTAGGGGAAAGCTGCTGTTGGGTCCCTGCAAAGCCCTCTCTTCTCCAGGCTGAACAAGCCTCTTCCCTTGGTCTCTGATCCTGGGGCATAGCTCCGACCCCCATCCATCTCAGTGGCCTTCTGCTGAACTCTCTAGTGTAGATATTTGCTAGATTTCTGTAAAGGCCTCACTCACCTCATACTCTTCATCCCTGTGTAGAAACCACACCATATCCCCTGTGTTCCCCACCTCTGATTTGGACACAGAGACTTTCCGTGGACGCCTCCCCAGTGCTTCTTGTGCTTTGGCTTGCGTTTGCCTGTTATTATAAAAGCCAAGGGCACCACACAGGTGGGGTTTTGCTCATTTATTTCCCTCCACCTGATAGTAAGGTAGATTATGAAATGAGCAACAACTTGGATGTGAGAACCGCTGAAAATCCACCTCTCCCTGATGGCCATCTCCTGAGCTGAGAGCAGTAGTGTCTACACGCCTGATGCTCTGTTATATTTTGCATTTGTTTCCAATGTTGATTTCTTAACTGAGAAGTCATAGCTAAACTTTCACTGGTTAAACTGCTCACCAGTTTGCATCAAAAAGAAGCCAGCTGCTTAGCAGCTTAGTCTTGGTTAGGGTGAACGTAGAAAAAGCACTTGCTCACTTAATAGAGCATCTCAACCTGTGGAATTTGGGGACAACTGCAAAATAGTAGCACTCACCAGGAAGGATTTCACTTTCATTTTAAGAAAAAAAATGTTTTTCTTTTTTTTCCCTTTTTTTTAAGAAAAAAAGTCCATCCTTTTCATTCATTTTATAGTTTAATGGATAAACAAGGTCATATGTGACACTATGGTAATTATAACAGGGTCCTGGACAGCATGGGGGCATTTGCACAGGTTGGTGGGGAGGTGGAGGGAGGTGGCACTTGTCATTACCCGGTTCTATATTCAGTAGAGAGTCCAACTACGTGGAGTTTCTGTAGTTGATTTGTTTTAGGTATAGGTTATGTGAGAGCTGAGCTGGGATGGAGCATGACTCACATACCACCTGGGAATTCAATGGCTCCTTCTATCAGCCTTCAGCTTTCCTCATGATGGGCATCCCAGGCCTGGAAGCCCTTCACCACTGGATCTCCATCCCTTTCTGTGCACTGTACCTTATTGCTCTCTTGGGAAACTGCATGATTTTATTCATCATAAAGAAGACCCAAAGTCTTCACGAGCCAATGTACTACTTCCTCTCCATGCTGGCATTCACTGACCTGGGCTTGGTTCTATGTACACTGCCTACTACTCTGGGCATTTTTTGGTTTAATATGCGAAGGATTGGGTTCGATGCTTGCCTTACTCAGATGTACTTCATCCACATACTGTCCTTCATCGAATCCTCTGTGCTCCTGGCAATGGCATTTGACCGCTTCATTGCCATCTCCCATCCATTGAGACACTCATCCATACTGACCAAGATGACTGTCATGAAAATAGGTCTGGCAATTATACTGAGAGGTATGGTCTCCCTCCTTCCCATACCCTTCTTGCTCAAGAGACTAAGCTATTGCAGGAAGACTGAGCTGTCTCATTCTTTTTGTTTCCATCCTGATATCATGAACCTAGCATGCACAGATATAAAAGTCAATGTCTTCTACGGTATGATCATTCTTTTATCAACGGTGGGGATGGACTTCATCTTCATTGTGCTGTCCTACATCCTGATCATTAAAACTGTCATCGGCCTTGCAACCAAGGAGGAGTGTCTCAAGGCTTTGAATACCTGTGTCTCCCACATCTGTGCTGTTCTAGTGTTCTTCATCCCGATGATCGGACTATCCATGATCCATCGCTTTGGAAAGAACGTTCCACCTCTGGTTAACACTTTGGTGGCCTACACCTACCTTATAATTCCCCCTGCTCTCAACCCCATTATCTACAGCATAAAATCCAGCCACATCCGTGAGGCTTTGCTCAGGGCACTGCGGAGAAAGAGTGAATCTGACTGGTAGCTTCCTCCACCAGTTCTGCCGGAAAGTGCTAGTGGACCGGTTTCTTGGTCAGAGCTAGTGGACCGGTGTCTTGATACTCCATCCATGCGGGTCACTGACAGATGAAAGAACTGCAGATCCACTCAGACGCTGTCCCTCAACCAAGAGCTGTGATCTTCCAAGTTTAGTCCTAACACGATGCTTTCATCCCTGCCAGCAGCCTGCGAACACCCCGAGCGGTAGTGCCAGTGATATACACAGATGGAAGCCCCAATTAGAGGGAGACAATTACAGAAAAATGGGTTGCGTGACTTTCTCTTTTCAAGTCACGCATTGGGGTGGATCAAGGAACCTCTGCAACGCATGTTGCCCAAACTCTAATAGCCACATAATCGTGTGTAAGCTTCACTCAGGCTCCTTTGCATGGGGTCATTGCTCCCTCACTGCCTGTTACAGCATAGCTAACCCCGGCAGCAAGCTCGACAGGACAGGGCTTGGACCAAGAGTTTGGAGTGACTCTGAATATCTCAGTCATTAGTTGTTCAGCTGGAAACACCCCACAAGATGGAGCTCAGCTCCAGAGGCTGAGCACAGAGCATTTTCTGAAGATTAGGTCCTGTTAAGGGGGGGGCACAGCACTCTCAGTCCTAAAAATATGGTTCAGCCTTCATCTTCATCTGTTTCTAAAGTGCCATACACATCTACAGTGATGGAAACAGTGCTGCTTTTGCATCTCTTTTTGCTGTCATTGAGACTTACCATCTTGCCAAGTCTAATGTTTTGCATTGAATGTAATGCGTGTGTGCAATATCTTCAATAAAAGACATCTATTTGTTGTAAAAGGTCAAAAGTCTTGATGAAGCCTTTTTTTTTCTGTTTATATGATGCAGAGCTATTAGGTTGGTGTTGCTAAAAATCTTCAGAATGTGCTGTAGATGAGCATATGATTGTACGATGTAGGTATGCATCAGGATGGTGCTTGGGGTTCTGGTGCGGCTAGCTCACTTGCTGAATAAAAGGGGGGTCAAAAATATAATAGGAATGGCTAAACTTCCTGGTGTGATGGACCACGTACTACAATCTTCCAGCTGAGATCTGCCTGGTACTGACGGTACTGCTCAGAGGAATGGGAGGGGGATATCTCCAGGGGCAGTTCACAGATGGAAGATGACAGCGTCTCCCAGCATCTTACTGCTCTGCTGTAGGACAGGTCTCAGTCAGGCATGCAGAGAGGTTTCATGGTCCTGCTGGTTTGCTTCCTCTCATGGACAGAATACAATGACCCCAAATCTTTCATGCCTCCAAATTGTGGAGCTGTTTTTTCATTGGTCTCAAGCCATATTTTGGTCAGTTTGGACCATGGCAGAGAATAAGTAGAAATGGTTAGTGTTGACCTTGGAAGAGTGAAGCAGCAGAAGGTATCAGGACAGGATTACACACCAGAACTGGCCGGTTTCTGCCTGCTGCCACTTCACCCTTCAGACTAATCCAGGATGAGTGTCTTTTTCCACACATAACAGTACCTAGAATAGAGAGAAAAGAATAACGAGGGGAGATCTCCATAAAAAAAATGGAAAGGTAGAAGGGAAGATTCCCAAGGGGAGGATTCCCATGCCACTGTTTGTTTTGTGTTGTGCTAGTTATTCTGCTGAGGATCCCAGTGGGCACAGGGTGAAATACCACTCAGCAGAGCACCCCCAGAACCTCTGCCAGAGCGCTGGCATGGCGGCTCTTGGGTTGGAGGTCCCGTTTGCATTGATGTAGCACCCAACGGGAGCACTCTTTGCTCAAAATATCTAAGACCTGTTGCTTGTAGCCAGCTATTATCAGAAGAAAGGTTAACACAAGGGAACAAACACAACTTCAGCAGAAAAGCCTAGAAAAGAGTTTTGCTGGAGAGATGCTGCGCTTGCAGGATCCTCGCACTGCACTGCTCCCATTCTGAACAGCTCCAGAGTTTCTCCCGGGACGTCCGTGCTTCCAGGCTACAGCCATTCTGCGAATCAGCAAAAGCCCGAGGAGCCTCTGCCACAGCAAGCAAATGTTTGGGGAGGACAGCCAGGGGGCAGATGTGTGTGTGAGATTTATTAGCACAGCCGGAGACCACAGTGGAGTGAGGCTTGCAGTGCATCCAGTGCATCTCCATCACCCAGTTCAGCAGAGCTTCAACTGCCACCCCGTTTGCTTCCCAAACTGTGTAGCTGGAGGGTAACAAGCAGACACTCAAGATTTGAGAATCTTGGTAAGGTACTGTCTTTTAGGAACATATGTTAAAAAACCTTTGTGGCTGCCTCTGGGAATGGGAAACTTAATTGTGGTTTAACATCTGTGTGTGAGAAAAAAGAGACAGATGAACCACTTAAAGCTGCTAATTCCTATTCTGTAATGCCCTGAGCTCTCCGCTTTGCACCATGAGAGCACCTACAGTACTTGACAATGGATTTATTTCTTATGAGGCACAGGAAGAGCAGTGTGAGAAAAATCAGAGGCATTTCTGGAGAGGAGAGGAGAGGAGAGGTTTAACATCTGTGTGTGAGAAAAAAGAGACAGATGAACCACTTAAAGCTGCTAATTCCTATTCTGTAATGCCCTGAGCTCTCCGCTTTGCACCATGAGAGCACCTACAGTACTTGACAATGGATTTATTTCTTATGAGGCACAGGAAGAGCAGTGTGAGAAAAATCAGAGGCATTTCTGGAGAGGAGAGGAGAGGAGAGGAGAGGAGAGGAGAGGAAGAAGGGAAAGGGGGACAAGGAACAGCAGAAGAAGTGGGAGAAGGAGCTGGGAAGGGGAAGGGGAAGGGGAAGGGGAAGGGGAAGGGGAAGGGGAAGGGGAAGGGGAAGGGGAAGGGGAAGGGGAAGGGGAAGGGGAAGGGGAAGGGGAAGGGGAAGGGGAAGGGGAAGGGGAAGGGGAAGGGGAAGGGGAAGGGGAAGGGGAAGGGGAAGGGGAGGGGGAAGGGAGACTATTCCTGCCACCTCCATTTGGTTCCCACGGCCAGCTCCTCCCATCCCGAGCCCTCTCTGAGCCCCGCGCTGTGCATCTCCCCTGCCCCAGGAAAGTCTCCCGTTACCTCATCCACGCGGAGCCCGGCTGCAGTCCCTGCTGCGCTCTGCGGCTTTGTCCACTCTATAATTAAAAGAGGGATAAGGACAGTTCTCTGTCCTGGAGACACCTGGTGCTTCTTGGCCACATCCTCTTCTATCCTTTCCTCCTTCCCTAACGGGGCTGGCTTTACTCCACAGCCCAGTGGACATTTTCCCCAGCTGGTCCTACCCTCTCACTCGAGCCTGGGTGCTGCTGGGGCAGGAGTAGCTGGCAGCGGCCGGGGCTGTCCCGGGAGGTGAGGAATGGGTTAACGGAGTGGGTGATGGTGGGATGAGGATCCAGCCATGTCCTGCTCACTTTAGTACCGGCATGGCTTGTATGGCTCCAAATACAGCCAGTGCCTGCCCAGAGCGACTGACTTAGCCAGGACCTGGGCGTATTTATAAAATAGCAGCAGAGCGACAAGCAGGTACAGCTTTTCTGTTTACAACTGATGACAAACAGGTAGGGGGGAAAAAAAAGCAAATCACATTTGACCAAACCATCAATTAAGAAGAATTTTAATTTTGGTTATAAAATGGTTTGAATTTGAGTGATGCCTTATGTTTTTAACTTTTCTCTTTTCCCTCTGAAGCAATATTTTGGCTTGATGTATACTTTTCTTTCTGGTGAGAAGGTATGAAAAATGGCTACATATTCAAAATGGCTCAGGGGTATATATATATATATCTCCCTCTCACTGCCACATGACAGGAGGGAGCAGTGGAGAGAGGGATTCAGAGGGCAAAGACGGTCCCATTGCCTGCTCCATCCTGGGAAGTTGATCTCAGACCAATTTTGGTTCCATGGGACGAGTCTGGTCAATGTTAATGAGCATTTACTGAGATCAGATGCTGTGGCGGCTGCTAGTGGTCCTCTGGCTTGGAAGGTTTTACTGTCTGAGTGTTCTTACCTCTTGTTAAATGCAGTTACTGGGAACTGCTGGTGTGAGGATCACCCTAAGAAAATAAATCCGCATTTATTGATGTTTTTAAAGACACAGATCCCGTTTTCATCTCTGCAGACAGTAAGCTCCTTACACTACCTGATCTTCATTCCACTAGCAATCCAAAATCATTAGTCACTTCAGAAAACGTTGGTGCATTCATCCATGCCAAAGAACTCAAGATGAAGTGAAACATCCAGGGATTATTTACTTTCTGTGTTTGTCTCTCACAGTCACATTCTCTCAAAAGCAATGGATAGGATGGCAGATATCTTACAATGAGGCTCACACTGTAATTACACTTGAGTGGCTGGCAGGTAAGTTGGCTCAGGCACTTGTTGGCAATTACTGAAGCGCTTTGTTCATTCAGCTTGCATCTTAATGTAAGTGGTTTGCTGAAAATTCCATCACTAGAATAGCTTTCAGGCAACTTGACAGTAATAGTCCACCTACGCTGTTTGTAAATTGTGTATAAAAAGCTAGAATATGAGTCTTATTTGTATAGATTCAAGATGGAAAACCCCCACATCAGGGAAATAAATCATGATTGTTATTTTAGGATAACGGCTTCACCACAGATGTGCATTAAAACCCCCACATTTTCACAACCAAATGTTACTTTTAAAACAGTTGCATTAATAGCCTGCACAGCTTGCCATAAAAACGTTTTGCATCCTTGTTTGACATGGATAGGGCATGAAAGAAATAAACCGTAAACAGAAATCTCAGCAATGTTGTGGGTAGCAGTTATGTGCTTGACCTCATGCTGTCCACACAGTGCAGGGGAGACAGCGGGTTTGGTCCAGCACCGGTACGGCCGGCCACTGACTCGCTGCCTGGTCCACCGGGGAGGATGGATGAAGTCCCATATCCCCAGCGGGTCACATAAAGACACAGAATAAGGTGAACAACCATCCGAGTTTTTTTCTCTACAGATATTCTGGTATTTCCGTATGCCTTTTCAGGCAGAAAGGATGAAAATCTAATTTGT